TGTCTTTTTTCAAAGTAGCAAGCAAACTTAATTATTATAATAGTATTATATGTTGATGATTTTTATATTTTTTACAATAATATTAATAAAAAGAATGCACTTTTCGAATTCTTAAAGAATAATTTTTTAATTAAAGATTTAGGTGAAGCCCAAGAAGTACTTGGAATTGAGCTTATTAGGGATAAATTAAATAATATGGTTTATTTAAGTCAGAAAAATTACATACTGGATATTCTGAATAAATTTGGTTTCTCTGATATAAATGGTATCTCCACTCCTATTGAACCTAATTTAAAGGTTGCAGCCTCTGATGAAAATAAACATTTGGCTGTACCTTATTAGAATGCAATCGAATGCCTTATGTATTTATCAGTGAACCTGACATTGCTTATCCCGTAAATTACTTGAGTCAGTTTAACTGTGGATACACAATGTACCATTGGAATTTGGTGAAACGTGTGTTTCGTTACCTAAAATTCACAAACAATTTGGGCATTGGCTACAAAAAATGTGATTTCAAGACTATTGAAGGATTTGTAGATGCTTCATGGGGAGATCAGCAATCCGAAAGACGATCTCACACTGGATACCTTTTTAAACTGGCAGGTGGGCCCATATCATGGGAAAGTCGAAAGCAACGAACTGTTGCGTTATCGTCGACCGAAGCAGAATACATGGCAGCTTCTGATTCGTGCAAAGAAGCAATATACCTAGAACGACTTTTTTCTGAAATTTTAAATCGACCTATTAAGCAGATTACATTGTATATGGATAATCAAAGCGCAATTAAGATTGCAGAAAATCCAGTATTTCATAATAGAACGAAACACATTAAAATAAGGTTTCATTTTATTAGGGAAGCTGTAATTAATGGTCAAGTTCTTTTACAGTATCTAAGGAGTAGCGATATGGTGGCTGACATACTAACTAAAGGTCTGCCATACGGAAAGCACAGAAAATGCACATCAGAAATGGGGATGTTAGATATTCCGTGAATTATTGTTACGTTACGTTATCGTTGATATATATGTTATTAGCTTAAGGGGGAGTGTTGATAGTGTAAGCTCTGTACTATATGTACTATAAATACTATGTATAATTTTATCTAGTTAACACTCTGATGTCAATAAAATTTTTTCATTGTATGTCATTAATACACATTTATATTTTAAAGTTTACTTTATTTAAAAGCCTCATTGACACATCATGATGAGCTGAGTAATAATTTAATTTATCTATGAGTATTTTCTTGTTGATATATTTTATGAAAGATTAGATTTGGCGTTGTTCCGAGAAACGTCAAATAACAAAATGAGTGCCAATAATCCACATGTAGGTTATTTTCGACAGTTATATTAAACGTTTTACACTTTTTTATCTTTATCAAATTGTCATTTTTATTTCACAAAAAAATTAACTCATAACACTGCTGAAAATAAATCGTATAATTATTGTACCATTATAAATAGTGTTCAGGTAGTTCATTAACCCTTTCACTGTGGGAACCGACTATTTTTGAAAATGAATAGTGTGCCATTGCGGGAAACGACTTTATTCGAACTCCTTGTTTGAGGGTTTGCTGAGGGAATCAAGAAGTTGAAATATAGTCATTTTCAAAACGGTTCCCGCATAGAAAGGGGTTAAATATGTAGGAAAACTTTAAGGTGCTAATCATGCTCAATTTTAAATAAAAAAGATCATAATCATAATATAAACGTAGGTCCTAAACCGATTTATTATTTTTTTTTTAATTAAACTTCATGCGTGTTACCTGATAAAACTATAAAAACATTTTTTGCTTAAAACTTGATAATAACAATTATTGTCTACTATTTATTTGGGAAAAACATTTTTTTATCTTGTTCACGCCCGGTGTGTTTACAAAATAAAGCACTTTACGTTTAAATGAACTGTTTGTCTTAAAATTAAGTAAGGAAGGTCATAGATGAAAATACCTTCATGGTTTGTCTAACAATCAGTTTCTTATTTTATATACAGGGTGATTACATTCTTTAAATGGTTCTTAAATAATGCTCAAAAGGTAGATTTTTTCTGTATGCCATTTAAGTCCAATAAAATCAATTTTACAAGTCTTTGAACCGGGACATTTTCTCACTAATGATCGCTAATAAGTCTGAAACAAGCACAATTTAACATTATACAGAGGTTGTTTCACCTAAAAAAAGTCCTTATTCAAATTATAATCTATAAATTTTCAGCCTTGTATACAACACGTTACTCGGATTGCTGGCTCTCATACTATTAATGTTGCAATGTTTGTAAGAAAGTCTCGCAGTTTTTAAATAAGTGTTACATTATAATAGAATGAACTGTTTTATGAGTGTATGGACGTATAATCGAGTACTCTGAAAGTTTGGATGCATACGCAAAATCATGTTTAGGATGGGAAAGGTACATGGTGTGTATGAAGACTTTTATTAGGTTAAAATATGGATCTATTGTGGCTCATGTTTAACTTATAGTTCACCGAAAAAACCAATCCTTTTGATGAAGGCCATGGTTGAATTTTGTGAGACCTGTTTAAAGTCGGTAGGCAGATGGGTGAATCCGAAGATCTGGAACCTAGTTCTATTCAATGCGGAGCTCTACGGATTCTTTTTTTACGTCGCAGAATCGATGTTTGTTGCAAACCGATTCTTCTCACTTAGACAAAAATGGCTTGTCATCGGTCCCGTGAGAATGCGTAGATATTTCCTACTCCATTCCCGGATCTGAGCAGAGTCGTTGATGGAAGGGTTGTATATAAACGCCTTTGAATGAGTTAGCCCCGGGATAGCTGTCCAGTTCGGAGTGTTACACCCTCAGTCCATTTTGAGATAATTCCTTTGGCGGTGCTCTTTGCAATGCCCAGGAATGGTTCTGGTCCAATGAACCCTGATTCGATTCCCCTTTTAGACGCGTCGGCTTTTTCATTACTCTCCACACCGCTGTGTCCCGGAGCTCAGATCAAAGTAACTTTGATCCGGGCACCGAGATACTCAATTCCAAACCGACTTTGAGTCAACTTGATTGGAGCTCAAGGCCTTGAGGGCTGCCTGGAGTGTCTGGCTATCCGAAAAGCTTTATAGTTTTGTTAGTGGGAAGAAAATTAATCAACTTTCTCGCTCCAAATTTTATAGCATTTATTTCTGCTTGGAAGATCGCGGTCAACTCTTGGCTTCTGACCGAAAACTCCTGCTCCTTTTTTAGTTTTGGAGCCGTCCGTTTACAGAGACTAGTCTGCATAGGAGAAGGCTTTATCCCCCTGCTCCATACGTCTGTATTTGGAATGTGGACTCTGTGACTTTTTTATATTCTGTCGGTAAACTAGCAATCTGAGACCATGCCGAGGATGTCTCACTCATCAGCCCTGTTTTGTCCCATTGCAGTATTTCCTTCATTTATTTCTTCTCTATTTTAACTATAATTACCAAAATGTGCCGGATCATCTCTTTTAGTTCATATGTACCTCCAAAAACATCTGAAATTATATATTTTTCCAATTTTTTCATATATTTATTTTCTTTATCTTTAATCGATTTAGTTATCTTTCTTAATTCTAAATATTTGCTTTTATAATAATCGGACAATAATCTTAATTTTCTAAGTGTCTTTTTTTTTCAATTTCTAGCGTGAACCAGATCGGATAGTTTCTGAAGTTTTCATTAATGACTAATTTGAGAACAGAATTATCTATAATTTTATTCCATATAGTATATAAATAATTATCTTAGGTTTACATTGGAGTTTTCTTTTAGAATTTGTTCCCAATTAGAATTGTTTTACAATTATATTCTTATATTCAGTCGATTATAATTACTAATTAACAAACTCAAATTACCATCCGTTGTAGACAATTATTTTATTAAAATAATAAATTAAATAGTGACTGCAAACATTAGATACCTTTCCTACCTAATAAGATCACTCGCAGGAAAATCAGGTATATTGAATTTTACGATTTCTAAATTACGCAAATTAAATCCAAGAATCCAACTATTTTTAATTTAACGATACCCGCTACGTTGGAAAATAAACTCTTGTGTGAAAGTAAATAAGTATAAATAAGTATAAAATCTATCTATTAATACACCACATAAAAATAATGATTGTACCGTATAGAAATAGATAGCAAAACAACATCTCCAATTTCTTCAAAAAAAAATGTGCATAGGCGGATGAGGTGTGCAGGGATTTACTGTCACCGCTATAGACTGTTGAAAATTGCTAAAATTATACGTTCTTGCAATATATTTTTTACAAATTTAAGGTTTTGTTTACTTCAAAAATTCAATAATACTTATTTTCTAAAATGTAAAAGCAATGCCATTTAAAAATGCTATTAATTTTATTTTAAAATAACCCATATTATTCCATTTATAGTTTAAGACCCGAAATCACAATAAAAACTTTAAAATTTGGCAAATAATGTCAAACTCCCGAAAAGAAAGTAATCTACTTTATGTCGCCGCAGTTTTGCGCATGCCCGGCAGGTACATTCCATTTGTTGCAGTAATAAGTTGTCATATTTATTTATTTTTAGACTATTAAAGGAAATTATATCATTATAATATAAACAAATATTTATAGTATGTTTTTAGATTATTACCTACTCCAAATATGTTTATTGTGACTTTTTCATACAAAATTATTAAAAAATTAATCTTTTCAAATACAACTCGTCCTTTTAAATTTTATTTAATTTTAAGTTTCCATACTCAATTGCCTTTATTCTAGGCAAAACCACTTAAGATAAAATAAATTACGGTTTGTGTTTCCGTGGATTTCCAAATGAAGAAATATTCGTGTAAATTTAATCGAAAAAATTTGGAGGATTCGTAGTATTGTCTCTGAAAAAATAAATTTAAATGTTGCCTTCTACAAAGAGATTTTAAAGTAAAAACTTTATTATGTATAATGTGTTGCCTACCTTTTGGAACAAAATAATTATTTTTGGAATAAGTACCTAACTATATTTAATATTTTTTATTTTATTTCAGGACTTCAAACCAGTTCCATATCCAAAAAATCAGTATGGTAAATTCTACACTGGAGACTCGTATATAGTTTTAAATGTGAGTACTTATTATATAGCTATTTAAGAATATAAAATCTCTACGATTTTTTCACTATAACTAAAAAATTCCCTTATCAGTGGAGGTTACACCCCTTCGCGAATGCGGGAGGGGGCATGCTTAGAAATGTATAATTTTGTAATTTTCTCGAAATGGGTCATTAGAAATCTACAAAATTTTCAATTTTTATAAATTTCCGGCCACCCCTTTTTCAAGAAAATTAGACGTTTCCAGACTTTTCTTCCTTTTTGTATGAGTGCGATATTTATTGTTTCATGAAAACTAATATTAAAATACTTTTCGAATTATTTGCATCATGATATCAGCTTATTCTGCTTTCTTTTGTCAAGTGGTCCATCTTAGATGGATTTCTAAAACTTTGTTTCCAGCACCTATATATCCTTAAAAAATTGATAGCCCTCAAAACAGCATCATCATGATATCTGTAAGAGTTGTGTATTTATTTCAGACATACCCGATCATTGCCAAGTAAATTTTATTTTGTAACAGACTTATTTACCTTTTAACAAAGTCTTGTGACTGAAGGTTTGGTTTTTTTTTTTTGGCTTTGGATATTGATCCTTGAAGGTTTGGTTGATTTTTAAAAAAAATATACATTATTTACAAATCCTAGCTTTTTCTCTTCAAAATAAATTGTCCAGTCGTATATTTATTTATAGGTAAGCACCTTATCGCCGAGGTGCTTACAAAAGTCTATGGGCGATTGGTTGTTGAACTGCGCTTCAATAATTTATCAACATTATTATACAATTTTAGGTCCTGCCAGGTTTTATCCCTGCATTTAGATCCCTTACTGCATTTTCTTTGTTGTATTTTTTATTTCGGCATTGACCGAGGGTGACCACCACCAGGGCCGACAAGAGGGGGGGCAGCCGGGACTAATTCCCGGGGCCCGGGCTCAAATGGGGGCCCGGCAGCGGTATAAGGGGGACCCAGCAACTGTGGCGAGGATTTTTTTGTTACTTCAGAAGTTCGACACAAGTTCTTGGTTGAAGACTTTTTTTTTAGAGAAATTCAAGTAGAGAAGGAAAAGTTTTAGCTTGAAGACTTTTTTTTTAGAGAAATTCAAGTAGAGAAGGAAAAGTTTTAGCTTGAAGCCCTTTTTTGTAAAAAAAAAAATTATAAAATTGTCGCGGGGCCCGATCTGGAAAATTGTCCTGGGGCCCGACCTGTCTCTCGGCAGACCTGATCACCACTGGTTTTTATCCTGAATATCCATAGCCATTATACCTACGCATATGAAAAACATATTGTTATTTTTGAGTATCTAAAAAATGGCATTTAAAAAGTTGATTATTTTAATAAGTTATATTCGCTCTTAAAAGAGAACTTAGAAAACACCCTTTATAAAAAAGTTCAATTCTTACTCACTACATACCCAAAAGAAATTACAAATTTAGAAATTTAATAGATTCATTGTAATAGAAATAAAAGTCGTCTTTTATATTAGTTTCATGTTCACCAGTGGCGACTCATGGTCAAAGACGTTGGGTGCTCTGCAAGATTCTGCTCCTCCCCCCAAAAAAAAAGCAATTCTTATTATACAGCTTTATTTACCTACTTTTTATACATTATACCTTCCCGAAGCGACCCAGCTAAGAGATGAATATAACCTGGCGAGCTTTTGTTAAGTCTTCCACAGGTCCGCTCTGGACTTATTCTTAGCTATGAAATAAGAGTAAGATACGTTCACGCGCTATGGATACTATTTAATAATTAAATATAAATTAGCTAATCCATCAAATTTAGTTTACGTATATTTTAGAATTTCTAAAATAATTTCTGTAAAATGTAGATGAGGTACTTGCATGTTTTTTGGCAGCTCTAGACCTACAGCACTAAATTTTGTTTACCTTTTTTATTCTAAGGGTACCAGAAAATAAGAAAGTGCTTTGAAATTTCGTTTTCCTCCTCACTTTTCGTTTCTAAACATCTTTTTAAAATATTGAATACAGTCTAATGTAATATGTATATTTCAGACTAAAATAAGAAACAATGGAATCAAATCATACGATCTACACTTTTGGTTGGGATCAGAAACTTCGCAGGTACGTAAAAATTAATTTAAATTTTGTCAGTTATATGTTGCAATATGTCAAATAAAATTGTCAATGCAATAGAGTTAAAATATTTAGAAATTTTCAACATCAACATTCAGTACAGAGTCTTTAGGAATACCTGTATCCCATGTCACTAAATTGATGCCATCCATGTATTGGCTAAAGTAACATTAACAATTGCAGTAGTAACTAAAACAATGTCCCTGGCCTATTTGACAGAACTGATAATTAAGTCATTTATAACGGCCATACTCATTTAATTTCTTGTTTTACCAGATCACATGGGATACGGGTATTGTTGAAGACTCGTTATTATGGAAAATCACACGGTTTTTCGTGTCTCCAAAACATCTATTTTGTTGTTGTTTATAGTATTACAGAATATTTAACTTAAAGTTACTATAGCCTTGTAGGGTAAACTAGGCAATAGAACAAAAATATTTACTAGTCCTTTATTTACTAATAAGAATTTTTTTTCAGGACGAAGCTGGATCCGCAGCTATATTCGCAGTTCAACTTGATGACGCGTTAAACGGGGAACCCATACAACATCGTGAAACCCAAGATCATGAATCACAACTGTTTCTTTCTTACTTCAAAAATGGTGGTATCAGGTACGCTCCTGGTGGCGTTGCCTCTGGTTTCCACCATGTAGACCCCAACGCCTTTGAAAAGAGGCTATTTGTAGTCAAGGGTTCAAGAAATATTAGAGTTAAACAAGTTACGCCAACTATTGCTTCAATGAATACCGGAGACTGTTTTATCTTGGATGTTGGTAGAGATGTATATGTTTATGTCGGTAATAAAGCCAGACGAGTAGAAAAACTAAAGGCTATTTTTGCTGCCAATAATATTAGGGATCAAGATCATGCTGGTAAAGCTAAAGTTACTATTGTTGGTAAGTATACTCATATGCGCCAAGTACATAATACCTCCACATAGTAATTTTTTACATATTACCAAATACTTATAACAGAATAACTCTTTATTTTTTCACGATAATTTTATCTTGATTGTGGGTTCTTACTCTTACTAATTTTGCTAGTGGTTGCTATCTACTGAAATTCAAAGTTTGACTATTTTTCTTGTTACAGACGAATTCAGTCCTGAAAGTGATTACATTCATTTCTTCGAAGCCTTAGGAGAAGGTTCTAGAGACGAAGTTCCAGATGACACAACCAGTGACGATGACCAAGATTTCGAAAAGAATGAAGAAAATCACGTGACCCTATACAAAGTGTCCGATGCAACAGGTAGTCTACAAATAACTAAAGTAGCACAAAAACCCTTGGACGTCAACCTTTTGGATCCCAACGATTGTTTTATTTTGGACACTACAGATGCTTTGTTGTACGTTTGGATCGGAAACAAATGCGATGAAAGGGAAAAGAAAGAAGCCATGAATAAAGCTGATGCTTTTCTTAACCAGCACAACCATCCTAAATGGACGCATGTTCAGAGGATTGTACATGGAGCTGAACCAGCTGCATTTACACAGTATTTCAGGTAAAACATTATTTTTCCAAAAATTATGTACATGTTTAAGAACTCGCTAATGAGTTTAAAGAAATTATTTCAGTGCGAATGTTGATTTGCAATGGGGTTTTTACTTAATAGGGTATATAAAAATAGTTTCTAAAAGTGTTTGAACTTATAGCCTGTTTCTATTGAAGCAAGATTCAAACCTTTTATGTAGTATAAAAGTATATTGCATAATAGTATAAAAATATACAACACTATTCCCTCGACATTTAAAATATTACCGATGAGATTATTAGTTCGAATATCATGATATTATGATCATGATAAGAGGATTATATTGTTATTACTGTTATGAATCTATAAATATAAGAATATAAATAACAGTTTTATTATTAGGGTCATGATTACATACATGATAAGGCTGTATATCTATAAACGCAGAACACACTTGAATAAAAATATAAACACCTACAAACAAAAATAAAATAAAAACGTATCTAACACAACACAAAATTTTAATAAAAAATTAAATGTATAATATGTAATAAACAATAATTTAATAATAACAAATTAATAATATTAATACTTTTTTTCTTAAAATCTAAATAATCTCGCAAAATTGAAAATTGATTGAAATAAAGAGAAAAATTATCCAAAAACAAACAAAAAATTATACATACATGCAGTCAACTACCAGATACCTATATACTTGAAAAAATAATATTTAGTTTTTAACTATTCTGTGTTTTGTTTGGTTTCAAAACCTATATAAATATGTATTGTTCTAGGAACTGGCAAGTAGTTGGAGAGCAGCATCCACGTCTTTTGCGTTCCATCAGTTCCACTGGCCATCTCTACCATTGCCAAATTCGTTCACGTAGTCATAAACTTAAAGTTGAAGAAATTAAAAACTTCGAACAAGATGATCTTTCGGACGATGATATAATGATCTTAGATGGTGATGATACCGTATTTGTTTGGATAGGCAAAGGTGCATCTGATGAAGAAAAAGCTAAAGGTCCTAAATATGCACACGTAAGTATAACTTGGAATGCCAATAGTGTATAATTATATACACTGCTGGCAAGATTAATCCTTCGAGTCTACTTTGCTTGTGTTGGAGTGAATAATAAATTGGATTCGCGATGCAGGAGAAGAAACTATATAATATCGATGTTGCCTGTTACAGGTCGATAGCTAACATCAAAGATAGCATCAAACTTCTGCTGTGAACGCACTTCCCTGACTCGGTCATCACAAACGTGACCGACTGGGCAGAGAAAGAATACAACCCATTTATTTACGATTAACAAAGTGCCAAACACATTGTAGATGGGCAACATCTAGCTTCTCTCCATTTAAATCTTCAGGAACTGGCGGTATATCTATCCAGCCCTACTTCAGTGAGGTCTGAAAAAACTCACCTGGTAGGTATATTCAGATTCTCGTTGGTTATGAGATATATCCCTAAAAAATGGAGAGAGGTATAAGTGGTCTTCATACCCAAACCTGGAAGGATGGATTACACTGTTCCAAAAACTGACCAATTAGTCTGACATCGTTTTCCATTAAGACATTGGAAAGGTACACAAGGGATGTGGTGATTACAACAACACCACCACTACATTCAAATCAACATACATACACCCCAGGCAGATCTACTGATTCAGCCCTTCACCTAGTTGCTGGCCGGATAGAGATCCCTGGATAATAAGGAGTCCGCCTTGGGTGTTATCATAGACATAGACAAAACTACCTTCCCCAAGATAATACTCATTAACCAACAGGAATGTTCCACAGATGGTTAGTGGATCGATACATAACATGCTCTCAAAGTAAACATAAGTGTGGACGATGTGAATATAAGAGGCTCGGTTGCGCGGGGATGTTCACAGGGAGGGGTGCTATCACCACTACTGTGGAACATGCTCCTCGACACCCTCATCAGCCGCCTCAATAATGACACACACAATAGCGTATGCAGATGACCTGGTCATTCTGCAAACAAGGAATTTTGAAAACATACTCTGCGAAAAAATTCAAGTAGCTCTCAAAATTATAGAACAGTGGTGCAACAACCATTCGCTGTCTATCAACCAAAGAAGACAGAAATGGTCCTATTCACAAGGTAAAGGATAAAAATTAAATTAAAACCTCCAGAAACTAAACTTTGACAGCAAGTCAACATGGAACTCATTAGAAGAGTCACAGAAAAGAGTCAAAAGAGCATACATTGCTTATAAACAATACCGCCGAACCGTGAGGCGCATCTGTAGTTTCTCCCCCAGAATCGTTATATGGACTGACACGGCCATCATAAGATCTATACTAACATACGGTGCAGTTGTCTGGGTACCGAAAACCCAAAAATTAACAGTTATCCGCAAACTAGAACAACTCAAAGAACAGTATGTCTCAACATAACAGGAGCCATGAAAACCACACCAACCAAAGCCATGGAAGTCATTCTCAATCTAACTCCTCTTGATATTTACATCAAGGAGGTTGCTTTGATGACAATGACACGCCTATCCACAGTTGGAATAGTACCTGATGTATGATCTCTGACTGCTTCAAGCGAACATGGACTCCATCTCACCGAGATATATCTTCCATAAGCCATATAAAGTTATAACAGAACAAATAGAAGAGCCGGAAGTGGCAGATACGATTCATATCTACACCGTCGGTTCTAAAAGAAAACAAGGCTCAGGAGTACTCCAGATCCTTAAACCTCAATATGAAATGGTCTGTGAGCAATAGTGCCAGTATAGTTAAAACCGAGCTCACGGGGATTCTCATAGCAGCAAAAGAAATCACCAGAAACAATATCACTGGAAGGAACATGCTCATCTATACAGATAGCTAACAATGACTACTCATCCTGAACAGACCACGAATTTACTCAGGGTTAGTACAACATCGGTAGCGACAGACTTAATTAAAGAACATTCCCATAAGAAATTCAAGGAAATATGGGATGAAACAAGAAACTGCAGAGTTGCCAGGGAACTTTTAAGTTATCCTGACAATATTAAAGCAAATAAATACTTGACTATGACTAGACAGAATCCGCGCCTGATCACAGCCCAGACAGCACACAAAATCTTTTGGATATCTACTGAACATTCCAATATCCACTGAATGTCCAGTCCATGGTAGATATCCATGGTAGACATCCATGAAATGTAATTTATAGACATGCAAATGTCCATAAATAATAGTAATTATATAGCAAATTAATATCCCATGAACATCCACTAAATATATCAAAGTCTAGGCGCGAACGCAAACCATCGTGGATATCCACTAGTTGTTATTTGATTCTGCTTACTAAGTATAGATGGCGATACCACTATCGCATCTACTCATGCTCGACCCGCCGTAATTGAGTTCGATCGAAATTTGTGTCCTAATCACTCCATTAGAGACGAGTCGAGAATTTCCATTTATTGCTGAAGAGTCGTAATAAGGATCAAAGGCAGAGTGTTGAAAATATTTTGAGTGTTGAAAATATTTTTTATCTCTGCTATTTCCTTTCGACGTTATTCAATAATCATTGGTTACTTATGAACCTCTACTAAAGATACCCATAAAATATTTTGCTGAATATCCGAATATCTTCTATATCATGGGATATAGACGGACATTTGGTTGGATATCCATATTGGATATATTGAATATTCACAAAATATATTCTGTGGATATCTCTGGGATTTCTTGTATTTTCTGGAAGATACCCATTAGATATTTTGCTGAATATCCATTAGGATATCTTCTATATTCTGGATATAGACGGACATTTGGATATCCATATTAGATCCACGGAATATGTCTGATATCCTGTGGATATATTGGATATCCACAAAAAATATTCTGTGGATATCTCTGGGATTTAGTGTGTTGTCTGTGAGGCATTCTTACTGGCCATTACCAAGTACGGAAGCATCTCCACATCATGGAGCTCTCAGAATCTGCAATTTGCAGAGGGTGCTAACAAGAAGATGAGACCATCGAGCATATCCTTTTCGATTGCCTAACGCTCTCATTTATTAGATTTGTGTTTGGCGAATATCGGCTAACACCGGCCGATATAAGAGAAGTACCTTTTGGCGACGTTGTCAACTACATTAAATCTGTAGGCTGATTGACGAGCTAGGAGGTGTCTATAACCTTAGTAGGATGCACAATGGGCCTAGCGAGGCCTAAGTATATTTTTTTATAAAAATTACAAATAAAAGGAATTCGGTATTATGCGACCGCTGACTTCAACACAAAATCAAAGCAGGCCCCAATAAAGTTTGATCTTGAGAGCATTTTATAACCATTGCTTTATATTTTGTTTTACAGAAAATGCTAGCTAAACATGGACGTGAAGATGTTCCAGTCAAAATAATCGAACAAAATGACGAACCTGAAGAGTTTACCAAACATTTCCCTTCTTGGGAACCAGGATTCTGGGACAACTTATCTGATATTAGAGATCACATTAAAAACGAGGAGGACTGAATAAATGCCTTAATGACTGAATCAATGCCTTAATGACTGTATAATCGTTTGCAATTAAAGTTGAAGATTTTTTCATTTAAATTTCTGCTATTTGTGGTATTTAAAAATTAAATCTAGCTTTAACCTTAAATTACAGAAAAAATATTCTGTTTCGCACTGCTTTTATTATTTAATAGGGAGCAGGTAAGGTGTGCGTGGTGGTCATTTTATACCTGATTAACAGGTTAAACCATAAAATTTACAAGTCATTTGCGCGCACATTGATAAATAGGGAATAAATATTAATCAAGTTGTCTTCCCATATTGTATTTATATTTATAGTTTTAAAATAATACAATTAACCTATGATTTTAATATCCTTTTTAATCTCTCAACCGTACTAGGAATTGTGTAAGAACATATTATTTCTTATTTAAATCACCCCCCACCCCTTGTTAAGATAAAATATGAAATTGGGAAATCCTTCCTCTCACAGGATAAGACATTGGGTTTCAAAGGTAAAACAAAAATCAAAGTATTTTTTATATTTTTGTACTTTTAAACCTACCTAATAGCAAACAGATTTAAAGTAAATTTGTAGAACCTTTTATTAATAAGCAATAAGCCAAATAAAATGCACAAGCTAAAAATACATTTGCATCATTTAACATTGCAAATAAGCCGACGTTAAAATATATTTTATTTCCTTTATATAAGATTTTCTGTGCCTTCCCTTTATCAACAAAAATGTTTAACCCCTTAGCACCTTATTAAACAATAATTATACCTACATGCAATATCCTAATTTAGTTTGGATATAAATCTGACCATTGCACGCAACTTACTTATGCCAGTTTAACGTAGTTTTTACTTTTATTATTGTATAAGATTTTTAGACAACCAAAAGAGCACATTAGAGCTCAGGGATTTTCCAAGTAGGAACCTATTTCAAGACAGAACTTTTGAAACATTTTTTAATTACTGAATTCTAAAATACCTTTTTAAATGATACAATATTTTTTTAGCTTTTTTTATCACTCTCTGTATGAATATATTGAAGCCAAATACAAATTATAAAGTACTATAGTGTTTTTATCTTGATTAAACCGCTTCTTCGTTTCTATTTTTCTAATAACACTCTGTTTATCTTTTGAACTGATAACTAAACTTATTCCAATAACTTTTATTAAACTACAATGTATCTCAAATCTATATTATTACCCAAATTTCAAAATTGTTATTAATTTTACTGTACAAAATTAAAATCAGTACTAAATATTTAGAAATGAAACTAACCTGTTTTTGATTATGTTAAATCACTTTTAACACCATAAAAGTTTAAACACTCAATTTTTAACAAATCATTTTTTGAATACCTAAACAGTTCTAACTTAGCTAAACTAAACAAATTGTGTTATATTTCATAGTTTAAGACACTGAAATCACAATAAAAACCTAAAAATTTGGCAAATAGCAAACTCCCAAAAAGAAAATAATCTACTTTATGTCGCCGCGTTTTTTCGCTTGCCCGGCACTTCTGTCATAGTAATACGTTGTTGCCGCATATTCATTTTTTTAGAATATTAAAGGAAATTATGTTACTATAAAATAAATATTTATAGTACGTTTAACTTGGAACCAACACTTACAAAAAGTGACCAACAAATGTAAAATGTATCTCATGGTAGGAGGACGGGCACTTGGAAAAACATGGGGATTAAAACCGAAAATGGTCCACTGGCTATATTCGGCAATAACAAGACCCATAACTTACGGAGCGGTTGTTTGGTGGCAAAAAGTAAACCAGAAAACACTCCTCAATATCCTCTCAGGAGTACAGAGGCCGGCATGCCTTTGTATTACAGGAGCACTGAGAAGTACACCGACAGCCTCTATGAAAATCATTCTAGACCTCCCATCCCTTGACCTAGTCATAAAGGGGAAGGCCAGAATGAGTGCATACAGGCTGAAAATATCTAACAACTGGAACCCACTGGAACATATAAAACATACCAGAATAACACATAAGGTAAATGATTCTATATTAAACATGGGATAACAAGGGAACAGACTCTGGCGTACATGGATTTAAACCCAAATGCGACTTCATCGTCTCACTAAGAAAACATACCACTGTATTTCAGGTTGAAATACATGAAATCGAGTTGTGTGTACGAGATAATTTAAGAAGAAAGCATGAAAAACAAACCATCAGATAGCCAAGCAGCCTTAAAGGCCCTTGGTTCAAACAGAATCAAGTCAAAGCTGGTCTGGAACTGCCTTGGAATACTAAACTGATCTGGCAACCCACAATAAGGTAAAACTAGCGTGGGCACCAGGACACAAAGGCATCCAAGGAAATGAACAGGCTGATGAACTCGCCAAAGAGGGATCAGAACTACCATTTACAGGACCCGAACCTGTATTTGGGATAAGCAAAACTCTGCTCGACAGGCAGTGAGCAGATGGATAACCACACAACACCAAATTCGCTGGCAACAAATAAGAGGACACAGAATCAGTAAGCTGATGCTAAGGAGACTAAACCACGCATGGCTACTGAGGTACTACATCTAGCAAGGCCTCAGATATCCACCATTGTGGGATTTACTAACGGGACATTGCTTGTCACTTCATGTGATTGGGATTACAGAAGTTTTAAAATTATTTATGAGGTTTTACGTTAGCCAATACGGTGACCTCCCACATAGCACACGGATGTCTTATGGACGTCTAAAAGACGTCAATCGGACGTCCAATGGACGTCCTAATGTCCCGTTTCCGTCCATCTTTGGGACGTCCCTGGGACATCCCAAAAGGATGTCATAGGGACCTTTGCGGGACGTCCTAGGGACGTAAATCAGACGTCCGAGGGATGATATTTGATCATAATCCATAAAGGGCAATAATAACAAAAAATTTAACAATAAAAGAGCTTTATTTAACAACTTTTATCCAGAAAAAACTAGCTAGAGTTAAACAGGAATGAATTAAATTTAACACTTTCCGACATTAAGGTATTTTCTTTCCGCCAGCGACTATCGCCAATACACATCACTTATTCTCACCTCAACACAAAACACTCACTTCACTTCACTTTATAACCATCATCTAAAAAATAACAAATAACATTATATAACCTTCTTTTTTCTTCGTTAATCTAACTCACTTATGTAAGTTAATTATTGAATACCGAAAATTGTAGCTGTTGTTGTTCATTTAAAAATAAATGATAGGTTAGGTTTTCTGTCCTCATACTCTTTCCAAAACAAAACGTTGAATTTCAAGTTATCGATTCAAAGACCAATGATGCTAGTACATAAAAAGTCCCATAGACGTCCCATTTACGTCCCGGACTCGGACCGAAACCTAAACGCTTTGTCGAAACGGAACCAAAATAGGACGTCCAGAGGACGTCCTTCGAAGGACGTCCTAGTGTTCACTGTAATCGGAAGTCCATTGGACGTCCTATTTAGGTCCGGGACCAACCGGACCAACAAGGGACCAAATCAGGACGTCCATGGGACGTCCTGTGCTATCTGGGCTGAACGCTGTTGAATGTACTGGCAAGCAATTTTAGGACTTCTGTCTACATGTTGGCAAGTCATCAGTGTGCTGGTTCATGGCAACCTGAAGCGTACTTTGGTATTGCATATATTCCATCCAGTTATCTGCTTGGTAGAGCTCCATAAATTTAAATGTCATAGTCGCCATTTTTCACGAACTAAACCAACGAATATAACCCGTAGTGGAATCTCTACTACACACCAAAATTTGGGACAACTCTCAAATATCTACCAAACGCCCTCCCTACATGCTGGCCATGAACATTGGCCAGTATTATTGGTCAGTACTATTGATCATTGTAAAGAGCAGCCTTAACTAGTCCTTCAAACTTTGAAATGTTGAAATTATATCAATCTGAGATTATATTAAAGCAGAAATGCTATGGTCAATGGTCGAATGTTTCTCTCTAAAGCAAGCCTGTACAACATACGGCCCGTCATTGTCGTTTTCTTAGCCCTTTGTCCGTTGACAAATTTGGCCCACCTACGTCAAAGTATACATTTTTCAGTAACAAAATTGCAATTAGGTATTAAGGACCTGGTTTATCATAAGCTGATGACCTTTTGACAACAAGAGGTTTATAAATTATAAGCTACAGACCACCTCGACCTGCTTTATTAGCTCAGGATTTTCTTGGCCCTCGTTTAAAGTGGCCTTTTGAAAATCTGAGTTGTGCAGACCTGCTCTAGCTAAATCCAAACTGATGTGTCGGAACATTTTTCTTATATTAAATTGAGAAATTATTTAAGTGCAGTTCAAATATCTATCTATCTATCTGAATTAGGGCGTGGTTCAAAGCCCACTTGTACTGAAGCTCTAGGCTTATTGTACCCCTCACAGTTTCTATCCCATCAGATTGATTTTCTTGATGAATTCAAGAATATGTCTGATGGGCGCTTTCGCGATTTCTTCAGGTTCCGGATATTGTACACCAAAGTACCATTCCCGTTCCCATTAAAGGTTCCGACAGTGGCATAGTATGTGAATAGGAGTTTCGTCCTCCTCTTCACATATTCTACATACGGAGTCATCATATATCCCTAAGAGATTTAGGTGTCTTCTAAGGCCGCAGTGTCCCGTAAGGAGTCCTATTACGGCCTTGAGTTCGCTTCTGCTAAGGTTTAGCAGTTGATTTTGTCTGCTCGTGGATGGCCCCTCTATGAATCTTTTGGACTGTCTAAGTCCAGGAAGTTCCAACGAGAGCCTATGGTGTTCTCTATTTATTTGTTCCTTTAACACCCATTTAACATGTTGCAATTCAAATAAGTACTTTAACAACCAATTGCACATAAACTGTTGTAAAAACACTCAACTCTAATAACCTTTTGTCTATATACCTTTATACACACAACAATAATGCGAGTATGAATATGTGTCAGAATCGGCCTTAACCTCGGCAGTGTGGTGCTTATTGTATGTATAAATATATATAATTGGACAACTTATTCGGATAAGAA